ACTGTAATCAAAACAGCCTGGTAATGGCACAAGAACAGGCATACAGACCAGTGGAACAGAATACAGAACGCAGAAATGGACCCAAGGCAATATTCTCAATTAATATTTGACAAAGGGGGCAAGAGCATACAGTGGAATAAAGACAGCCTCTTTAATAAATGGTGTTGGGAAAATTGGACAGCTACATGCAAAAAAATGAAACTAGACCATCAACTTACACCATACACAAGAATAAACTCAAAATGGATAAAAGACTTAAATGTGACCTGTGAATCCATAAAAATCCTAGAAGAAAATGTAGGCAACAAAATTTCAGACATTATACGCAGCAGAATTTTCATGATACATCACCTAAGGCAACAGAAATAAAAGAAAAAATGAACACATGGGACTGCATCAAACTAAATAGCTTCTGCACAGCAAAAGAAACAACCATCAAAATGGAAAGGCAACCCACTGTATGGGAGAACATCATTGTCAATGATATATCAGATAAGGGGTTAATTTCCAATATATATAGAGTACTCATACAACTCCACAAAAGGAAGACAAAGAACCCAATTAATAAATGGGCAGAGGAGCTAAATAGACACCTCTCCAAACAGGACATACAAATGGCCAAGAGACATATGAAGAAATGCTCAACATCACTAATCATCAGAGATGTGCACATTAAAACACCAATGAGGTATCACCTCACACCTGCCAGAATGGCCGCCATCAACAAATTATCAAACAACAAGTGTTGGCGAGGGTGTGGAGAAAAGGGGACTCTAATACACTGTTGGTGGGAATGCAGACTGGTGCAGCAATATGGTGTTACCTCAAAAAATTAAAAATTGAACTTCTATTTGACCCAGTGATCCTGCTTCTAGGAATATACCCTAAGAAGCCTGAAACACCAATCAGAAAGAATATATCCCCATGTTCATAGCAGCACTATTTACAATAGCTAAGATCTGGAAACAGCCCAAGTGTCCATCAGTAGACGAATGGATAAAAAAGCTGTGGTACCTATAATCAATGGAGTACTACTATGCAGCTGTAAGAAAGAAAGATCTCTTATCCATTGAGACAATATGGAGGGACCTGGAAAGTATTATCCTAAGCGAAACAAGCCAAGCAGAAAAAGACAAATACCACATGATGTCACTTATTTGTGGAATATAATGAACATAACAATATGAGGAATAGGGTAGACCCAGAAACATGGAAGTAGGGCACAGACTGACAACCCTCAAAAGAGGGGGTGGTGGGCGGTGGGAAGAGATAAACCACAGAACTTATATGCCTGTATGCATAACCTATGGACATGGACAAGAAAGCCGGGGATGGGGCGGGGGGGAATAGGGAGGAGAGTGTCAATGGGGTAAAAAAGGAGAAACATCTGTAACAAAAATAAAAATGAAAATAAAAAAATAAAAAAAAATAAATAAAAACGAAAGAGAGAAACATCGATGAGAGAGGATTGATTGGCTGTCTCCTAAATGCCCCCTCTACTGGGGATTGAGCCCAAAATCTGGGCATGTTCCCTGACCGGTAATTGAACTAGCGACCTCTTGGTACATGGGTCGACACTCAGCCACTGAGCGACACCAGCTGGGCCTGTTCCTCAGTTTCTGTTTTCTACACTGCCTTTGTCTCTCTTGGATTCATTCTTTCATTTTTTCTCCATCACCAATTAAAGCTGTGGAAAAAAGTACACACTACACACTCATAATTTAATAAGAATAGGCATTAATTCCTCCAGCGCTGTTTGAGGTCCAAGGTGAGTAAGCTAAATTTTACCAACAGATGCAGATTTCATGAACACAGAAATTTCTTTGCACTTAAGAAACAGACCATAGCCTCTGCAGCTATACTTAAGTGTCACGAAGAGCAGATTGCAAATTCAAGCTGGCCTTCCAAATAGGTTTATAAACTACAAGAATCCATAAAATTGTTCATTTATTGCTCTGACCACCTCTCCCATCATTGTCCCTTAAATGCTGTCTTTCTTCTCGCTTTCAAATGAGCACCTCTTATGAGAATACAAGCACACGGGAGTGCAAGGGATGCAGAGTTCACTGCCTAGTGGAGCAGTCAGCACAGTAGAGAATGGTTGAAAATAAGGATGGAGTGCTAACAGACTGCTACAGCCAAGTAAAAGCTGGTTTTATGGAAATTAGCTAACTGGAAGACACAATTAAATGAAATATTTAGATAAATGACTTTAAAAAGAAAGAGACAAAATTCGATAAAATGAGCTGATATAGTAATCCAAACAAAACAATATAAACAAATACACTTGTGGTATCTCCTGAGGTCAGTATACATACATTCTCACTTTTTTTTTTTTTTTTGTCCTCACCTGAGGACATTTTTCCATTTTTTGTTCAGGTAGAGTGGGAGGGAGAGAGAGGGAGAGAGAGGAAGAGAGAGAAAGGGAAACATCGACGTGAAAGGGACACATCGAGTGGCTGCCACCCGCATGACCAACCAGGGCCGAGGACAAACTGCAACCGAGGTACGTGCCCTTAGCGGGTCCAGGTCTCTCTGGACCGCAGGCCAATGTTCTAACCGCTGAGCCAAACCGGCCAGGGCACACATTCTTACTTTTATATGTAACGTTATTTTTAACTTTTTAAAGGTATCAGAAGTTTACCTTGTTACCTGAGTTGATAATTACGGTCTAAGAGCAATGAACAACAACGCTTGGCACCCATAAATGGAGTTTAGGGCTATAATCAAGTACAATTCAGACAAGTTAATCAGATGTGTATGTATACTGGCTATTATGCCACACGATGATTAGGTATAAACAGTACATTGTTATGTAAATGACTGTTACTAAGGTTAAACAACACTGGCAGTTTTCCTGATGACATACAGACTGATCCTCACTGCCTGTAGCAAAGTCCTTCCTCTGACTCCCCAGCACGCACAGACCCATCCCTGACTTGATTATACGCTTTCCTGTGCCTCTCTTGACCTTCTTAGGCTTTCTGCTCTCTTCTCTGAATCTGTTGAGTACTGGAGGGCCACTGAACTATGGAGCAGGGGGCAGAAAGGCCAAAACAGGCTCCTCAGTCAGGGGCTGGGAATATCTGGAGGAGGAAGGTCGATCCAGAGGACCTGAATTCAAGGCAGAGCAGGGAGCAGGTTTCTGACAGTGAGGCACTAATCACAGGATTGGCTCTCCAGGTGTGGTTCACAGCATTAGAGAACTACCATATCCCTTAATCTGGACAGTCTCTTTGCCTGCTTGAGGAAGTCCATGAAAATCTCCTCTTCTCTTTCACACACACAGTTGCCATGTTAGAAATACCGTGTGGCATTTATGTGGTTAACATGTTATCTCCAGATGCAGAAATCATTCATCCTTGCTAAATTCTATCTTCTGGATTTAGATTCATAGTTCCAGCCTGTTTAGATAATTTACCATCTTGGCTCATACAACAAGCCATTTCTCAAAGCTTTGGGGTAAGAAAATGCCAATGACCTGAAAGAAGTTATCATTTATTAGGGTGGATATAATTGGAAGTTAGCTAATGGTATGTTAGCATATGTTCAGGGGAGATAACATATGGTAGAAATAGCACAGTGCTAGGAGTTAGAGGACTTGTCTCCTGACATGTACCAGTTCTGTGACTTCAGGTAAGTATTTGTGGGACTTCAGTTTCCTCATTTGTAAAATAGAGTGGAAACAGGTGAGCTCTTATTTCTGGAATGAAAGAGTCTGCTTTTCATTAGAGACATCTAAGGGATCAACAAGCAAGTTCTAAGATTAAGAGTGAAGAAAGGGGGAATGAAAGGATTCCTTTTTATTTTCCTTAAAAATCACTCTATTTACAAATTATTGAATAGTAGTAACAAATGTTCTGAGGTTAGAGGTAGGGGAGAGGACAGGACATGACTGGAGTAGGGATTCAGGGATTTCTCCAAAGACATGATGGAAGCTAGAACTTAAAGGATAGGTGACATAGAGGGTGGCAGGAGTGGAAGCCCATTTTGGAGGGCAGAACTTAAGAGCCCAAATACGGGATGTGTCTGTGGGAGGGCAAGTGGGTCAGACTCACACAGAGAGAAGTACTTTGGGTTTTATCCTCAATATTAGTTTTCAAACTTTTAAATATTATTCCTAAAAGCAGGGGAACCATTCCCAGTGTAAGTGTGCACGGGGTCTTGGGAGTTCCCACCTGGTCTCCTACTTGCCCACATGCAAGTCCTTAGTCTACCAAACCTCTCTGGTCTCTTGAAGCACAGACTGAAATCCCTGCTAAACTCTCAGGTATGACCTGATTCTTCAATATATGTGCATGATAAAAATAAAACCCAACCAAATGAAAGCACTGCTATGGATGGTAGGAATTCCTGAATGTAGTTGAGCTGGGGAATGGCATGATCAAATATTATATGATGGTCATGCTCAGTATTAACTGTTCTAGGAGGAGGCTAAAGGTATAGAATCCAGTTACCAAAGATTTTACGGTAGTTCTGGCATTAGAAGCTAAGCTCTTAGAAGCAGTTGGATATATTGGAAAGTATCAAAGACTTGCTTCCTAGTGGAAAATCCACTTATTTCTGAGTAGAATTACAGTGTTGAGCTGGCCTGGTGGTTCCTTGTCTGGCTTCAGGAAAAAGGGTTGTGATTATTGGGTGAGAACAAAAGTGGGGATCTGTATTCAACACAAGGGAAACATTTCTAACAAGTAAGGCTATTTTAATGATGAAATAGGCTGCTTGGCAAAATAGTGAGTTTCCTGTCACTGAAAGCATGCAAGCAGACCATGAATTTATGTGTCAGTGATGTCATGGATGGAATTCCTATATTAAGTGGGAAGCTAGACTAGAAGTCCACTAAGGTTTTCTTCAAACTTATGACCACACCTAAAGATATATTATGATCAAATACATTTTTTTCAACATGGTTAAAAAGAAAAACTATGCATGCTTAAAAACAGAAAGTAAGAGGCAGCGAAGAGAAAGGGCAATTTCATATCACTTTGAAGTTATATTACCTTGGCAATTTTTCCCATTTCATGAATGTCTGCTTTCTGATCTTCAATATCCATGAAAGCAGCTTCAATTCTGCACAGAGTTTGTTCATGGTTACTGCAGGCATCTGGGAGTCCTTCAGGAAAGTAGAACCGTGGAATGTTTATGGACAATGCTGTATTATTCACATGAGGAACAGGGGAGAGAGCATGGGGAGTACTTGGAAAGGTGGCTGGAGGTGGCAGTGATGTTCCAGGTTTCTTTTCTGGCTTATTTTGAATCTGGAAGGAAAATGTGATTATGAGACACAAAAATGTAAACAGTATATATTTCTTGGAAGTCCTCACCAGTTATAGGAAGTTGGGTATAAATACAATAAACCACAATCAGAGACCATAGAAATCAAGAGCTCACTCCACTCTAGAGGGTAGCAAGCATGCTTCCAGGGAATGCTTATCCATACTAAATGAATATATTAATTATCTCTCAATACTCAAGTTTATATAAATTTATTTTAAAACCTTATGTTTCCCATAAATTATGTGGCAGACATTTAAAAGCAATGTAAGCTGACATACTGAGGAGCTCAAGGTGTATTCTCAGTCTGTGGGAATTGGATGGGTAAATTCTCTTTGAAGACTGTTACTGGTCTTTCTGTGCCTTTCTTTCTCCTTCAATAGGCAGACAGAATGGGTTCTTTTTTTTTATACTCACCTAAGGACATTTTTTTTTACATTTATATTCAGATAGAGCAAGAGGGAGAGAAGGATGAAGAGAGAGAGAAACATCGATGTGAGAGAGACACATTGACTGGTTGCCACCCACACAATACCAACCAGGGCTGGGGACAAACTGCAACCGAGGAATGTGCCCTCAGCGGGAACCGAACCCGGGTCTCTCTGGTCTGTGGGCAATGCTCCAACTGCTGAGCCAAACTGACCAGGGCTAGAATGAGTTCTTTTCAAATATGTAGAAAATCTACTGGAGGGAGTGTCCTTCTGTAGTTTAACTTTGTCTAGGTAGAATCAATGCCAGCCCCTGATGCAGAAAAAAATCTTTGTTAAGAAAATTAAAGCATTTTTGTTTGTTTGTTTTGGAATGTCCTCTACCAGGCTGATTTACTTACCACTCGGGATATGCCATTTTTTTCTGAGACACAAATTTCTCTCACTTTTCAAGTACATTCTAATAGGCAAGGATCAGAGTCATTAATTTCATTACAGCCAAACTTCCTTTACTGTTTATTAACTCATTTACAGTTTATATCATCCCCCCCCCCAAATTTGATGTGTATAAAATAAAGAGACATAACAAAGAACAGTATAAACAATGGGGAGGGTAATGGGAGATTAAGATGATCCATGATTTAAGGAAAGTGGACAGGAGGTACACTAACATTTAGGTAGAGAAGTTCATTTTATCGATGAAGACTAAATTCAGTTCTCAGATTCCTAGAAGAAAAAGCAGAAAGATTCCATGAAGATTTTCAGTTTTAATTTCTACTCTTAATTTTGACCAACTGTCTATTAAGGCTGATGAGCATGGAAGTGTATTAGACGCCAAATAAAGTATGAAAGATGGCATGCTCGTTAGCCAGCTAGATTTACTTTATTATTTTTTTCTTTATTGATTTTAGAGAGAGGAAGGGAGAGGGAGAGAGAGATAGAAACATCAATGAAAGAGAACATCATTTGGCCGCCTCCTCCATGCTCCCCACTGGAGATTTGGCCCACAACCTGGGCATGTACCCTGACCAGGAATCAAACTGGGGACCTCTCGGTGCATGAGTTGATGCTCAGTCAGTGAACCACACCAGCTGGGCAGCTAGATTTACAAATTCACTGTGAACACAAAGTACTACTTGAGTGTTCTTCCTTAAATTATCCTAATGTCATGCCTAAAATTTGAATAATAATTTATCTGTAAGTAGATCTGAATATCATATTTCCTTTTGACATAAGGGCTTTGTAACATGGTATTTAGACTCAGGACAAAAATCTTTGCTACCCTTGAAAAACATGAGTCTTATCAGAAGATCAGCTTTACTCACAAAGAAAAATGATGAATATGATTGAATCTCCTACTTTTGCTGTACATGACCCATTTCTCATGTTAACACCTGACATTAATACATAGAGTGAAGTCTGTTCATATATTAATACTTCTAGGGCTATGAAGGCCAGTTGGTCACACCAAGCCATTGCTGCAATATTGGGATGTCATCCATATAAAGCAATAGTCTAGGAAGAAATTGCACAGAGGGAAGTGATGCCAATGAAAGATGAAAAACTTAACAGAAAACAGTGATGGCTTACTGGTCCTGTGACCTCAGGAAAGTTACTCAACCTTTTAGAATTTTGGTAATAAAACAGATTAAAATCCTTACTTCTTGGAAGGCTATTGTGAGGATTAAAGGAAATTAGAGGAGTAAAGAGTAAGAAAATAACACAGGTAAAAGGTCCAAAACAGTGCTGGGCACAGCAGATATGTCCCTGCTTTGAGAAAATGAGCCAAAGAGTGCGGATCTTACATTAAACATAACCTGTCGTGGTTCTACAGATTCAATAGTAAGTAAAATAATCTCATTTGTAAAGTAATTTTAAGTTTACAAACCACTTTTTACAAACTGACAATTTATTCTAAGAAAAAATTTCTCTCTGCCTCAATGCTAAATCTGCATATATTATTACATAGTCTTAGGAGTCAATAACAATAGAAATTATTCTTAAACTTCTAAAATAATGCATATAATTCTTCAGGGGCTTTACCTAGGTCATTTATATTAGTGTTTTTTCCTTTCTATTATTCTATACTAAAAGAGATTTGTGAGACAAATATGTAATCATCAAAATTCTTTTTTTTGTTCCCCCCAAATGTTTCCCATGGTGTGACATCCAGAGCAATCATAACTGTAAGATTAAGACCACTGGTGCCAGTGAGGATGAAACCCAATAGGCTAATGAACACATGCTAGTGGAGACGGTTTAGAGAAAACCCTTCAATGTTGACTCTACACATTTGCTTTGACCGAATAAGTGACATTCGGAACCCTAGCTATCTGTCAAAGTTTTTATTTAAATGGGAAAATATTTGATTATATAATAGTCTATTTTACTTTCCTTAGTGTACTTAACATGGAACAATTCACTGATAGGTAACTATTTATTAATTCATTGGTTGATACACATTTAATAAAAGTGATGTTAATATTTAAAAGGGAAAATAAAAAGAATGCATTTATTGTGAATTTTTGGGTGTATCAATTTCCTTTCCATTGAATTTAATAGGAGACATAATTTAAACTTTAATGTAGTTTAATAAAACTGACTCTTTACAAACATTGTAAAATAAAACACAGTAATATAAATTTTGCCAGATTTACCAGCAAGTTTAGCATCTTTAAATAAAATTGTATCACTAAATCTAGGAACTGCACTAAAATAGAATTAGCTGGGTAAAGTATCTCAATTCTCCATTTCAGTCTTTCTCTTTAAGCACAGTATCACTTAGATTCCTTCTATTACACTATTAGGTCACTGTAGCATTCCCAATATTTGACCATTTTTGAGCTATTAAAAAACAACTTCATATGGTCCAATCAAATAATTTGAAATTACTCTGGGTCAGAATAAATATGAAAGTATGGTTTCTTGATGGATTCTGCATGGCCATCATTTGTTTTGCCCTTGATTTATACTACAGTCAGTGTTAGGTACTTGTTTGGTGAGACACTGGCCATAACGGTGTAAGCAAGTTAGCAAGGGCTCTGCAAAGTAGTCATGGCAGACAGAAATGATTCAATCTCACAGCTTGCTGAGGGAGGACATTCTTTCACCAACCAGAAGTTAATTGCCTAAAAACATTAGATCACACACACACAACTGTCCATATGTAAAATTAGTTCTTCCTTCAAAAAAAAATTAATAGGGTCAATATTAAAAAAAATTCATTACAGATGTATGTTAACTCAAAGACTACTGATTCAAAGTACAAACAGGACTTTTAACACAGAAATTCTAGTTTCTCAAAGATATTTCTATTAAAAATTCTAGTATTTCCCTCACTGAATTGTAAAATGTTTGTTAAGTTGTATTTATTGTCTCTAAAACTGGATTCCCTCTCTACAAGAGAAAAATGTGAGTACTGTACTCAGGTCCAAAAGGTCTATTTTTAAACCTGTTGGAATCTCTCTACAAATAGCTTACTGCAAATAGCTGAATAGAGGACACAGATTAATTCCTTGATCTAATATCAAGTGAGCTGTAAAATTATTTGTAAGTTAGTTCACTGGGTGGTTTTATTAGTAATAAAAATATTTTAAAAGAAACACCCAAGTTTCAAACCTGTGTCTGCTGAAATGACTTCAGCCGCTTCTTAAACCGTGACGGGAGAACAAAATCACAGCCCCTTGCCAGGAAAGCTAACTCTCCCCTTAAATCCGGGTCCCTTCGTAGAGATGTTTCCTTGATCATCATCTTTGAAAAGTGATGTTTACTTAGCAACTGTCCAGCACACTTCTGAAGATAGTCAGATTTTATACGTTGTCAATCTTGTCAGATAGAAAGGTATATTTTTCTTCTTATCTCCCAAAGAAATTAAGTTCAAGCATTGTGCTCTCCAAGCCTCCAGAGACCACAATCCATACTTGCACTGACATGCAGCTGGTTCCCAAATGCTGGCTGTGGCTCCCAAGACCTGCTCATAATTTTCAAGTTAGAAACACGTCCTGCAATGGGCCAGTTGCTCCTTGCAGGTAGCTTTATGTCAAATTGACCTGCACATGTTGAGAATACAGAGCCTTCTGGGAAAGGAAGCACCCACTACTCTGAGGGCCAAAGTTAGAAACATTACAGTGGACCTAAAAATAGCAACTTCTCAGATAATCCTAACTTCTTAAACCCAGAGTATGAGAGGTGCCAATTCACATAAATTAGTTTCTCCTCAAACTAGAAGAGAAAGAACATTCAGAGCATTTTTTATTTTGCTATTTAATATTTTATGAAATAAGAACAAGCACTTCGAACCTGGAACTATTACTTTAAGAATAGTTTTTTATTTCTTTTTTTTTATCTTCACCCAAGGATACTCTTCCATTTATCTTCAGATACAGTGGGAGGGAGGGAGACAGAGGGAGAGAAAGACAAATATCGATGTGAGAGAGACACATCAATTGGTTGCCCCCCACATGACCCGGACCAGAACTGGGACCGAACTGCAACGGAGGTACATGCCCTTGACCAGAATCAAATCCGCAACTCATTGATCTGTAGGCCAACATTCT